TAAAACTAGCTGAATCATGAATAATGAAAGAGAGCTTTAAAAATATCCATTAAAGTGGGTCTCCTGCTGGCACAGTAGTTAAAGTTTCAGCGCTATCAAGCTATCACCAGCCACTTCAGCATGAGTTCAATCGCTGGCCAGGGATCTAACCCACATGGCTCAGCAGACCTCTCCTGTCTCACCCTGTATTTAGTAAAACTCAGCAGTTTCAGTAGATCTGCCTGTTCTGCTCCCCACTCTGTCTCTGGTGAATCCTCTCATCACCTACACCTCTGGCCTACACCCCAGTTCTTGTACTACATAAATAAATGAAAATAAATCTTAAAATAACATAGCTATAAATCAGGCAGGAAGTCACAGAAAAAAAAAGATATTAATGAAAGCACAAGACAGATGTAAAGATCAAGTATAAGTCTAATTGGAATTACAAAGTAATAAAGAGAATAGGGAAGAATGAACATTTAAAGAGGTAACAACTGAGAATTTTCCAGAATTGTCATGATACAACAGCCAAATTTAAAATGCACAATAACACAAAGTAGGATAAATAAAAGGAAACCATTCCTAATAAATTATTGTGAAACTGCAAAATCATAAAGACCAAGAGAAAACTTAAAACCAAATACAGATAAAAGATGAATGACCTACAAAGGAATGAAAATTAGATTGACTCCTTTTTTATCAAAATTTGCAAACTCACAGAGAAATCAAAAACAGTAAGATAAAAAACCTATTACACTACCCACCAGAGTCAAACTGTTAGCACTTTGGCTGATCACTCAAAGTTTTTCTAAAGATACACATGTTCCCTTTTCAGAAAATGTATAAAGTGGCTGCTAATAACAGGATCCTTTATTCCAAAATTCTTTATCATGCATTTCCAAGGAACAAGAACATTCTTTTATTTGACTACAATACCATCACCTCATCTAAGATAAAATTAATTCACTAACATTACCCTAATAGAGTCTGGATAAAATTTTCCCAGTTATCCTAAAAACATCCTCTAAGGCTTTTCTTTTTACTTATCCAGAATTTTATCAAGATCTATGTATTAATTTTAAATTCACTTCTAGCTCTTAAATCTCTCTCTCATTTAGAAAATTTTCACATCATTTCCTTTAGTTTTTCTTGACATTAAACCATTTGAAGAGTGCAATTCAGTTATTCTGAAAAAATATCCCACATTCTGGATAGATTTGACTGTTTTCCTCATGATTACAGATCAAGTATGTCTAGGAAAATACCATTTAGATGAACCACAATATGCATCTAGAATTCTCACACTGGCAATTCCAATTGTATCATTTTTAAATTTTTTTCTTTGTAATTAATAAATCACCTGCTAGGTGATATTTTCTGGCTCTAGAGTACATTTTTTAATTGCACCTCTGGAAGACAGAGGAAGGTACTTAGTACAAAGACAAAAGTACAAAGACAAAAAAGTAGTTATTAAAGTAGAAATGTATTGCCAACTGAAATATCATGTAAGAACAAAAGCAAGATAAAAATTATTATTTTATGCGTCAGTAAAAAATAACTGACAGAAAGACAATGTGTACACAAAAAGAATTCTTTGCACAGAGATTTGTTTTTTATAAACTTGTCAGGAACTTAACATTTCAGCACATCTTGAAAATGTACTTTACCTGCCATCTCTTCTGAGGGCAAAACTGATGCCATCTTTCTGGAAAGGAAGCAGCTTTGCCCTTAGTTTTTCAGGCAAAAAATCCAGCGGTTTACAAGATTCACTTCTCTCACAAGAAGACTGAGGTATAACAGACTTTTTTATGTTACGAACTATAGGCATGATGATCCTGAAAAATAAATCACAACAGGTTGGGGGGGGGGGTTCAAACAATTATTACTAAGTATAAGAGAGAATTAAACATAATAAACAACATTAAAGTACCGATCAGTTACCTTTATATACTATCTATGTAGATATGAACTTGTTAAATCATGTTTCCAGAGTAAATTATCAAGAAAATTCAAAGAACTTAGGCAAAATATGTATTTAATGCACTACCTAGTAATTCAGTATTCTCTCTTTCATTTCTAATTCTAACTGGGCAATTGTGTAGCCATTTCTTGTTTCAAGCAATAAATGTATTACTGAAAAGTTGCAAATCAACTAGATTTTTACAAATCAAATAAACTAATTAATGATGAATTTAATATAGAAAGAGGAATACTTTCATAAGTACACCTTTTCATATCATGCCAGATTTCTAAAAGTGGGGTAAAATTGCATTTTAAAATTATTAAATACAAACACATTAGTACCAAGTTTATAATGATTAAATTAACTCTAAGTTGGGGCCTCCCTGGTGGCACAAGGGGTTAAGACTCAGCACAATGAAGCTACGGGCAGCTACTGCAGCATGAGTTGGATCCCCGGCCAGGGAGGTGACCCACTTGGCACAGCAGATCTCTCCTGTCTTGCCTGCTTCTCACTTCAGCAGTGTATTTCAGTAGATCCACCTGTTCTGCTCCCCACTCTGTCTTTGGTGAATCCTCTCACCTCTCTGTACCTCTGGCCTATACCCCAGTTCTTGTATGCATAAATAAATAAATCTTTAAAAATATTAATTCTCAGTTACTAGATTGATTTTTAAATATTAAAATGATTCTTTGTAATCAGTTGATCCACAATATAAACTCTGCCTGATTAATACCTTTCTAACCACTAGGTTTCCACAGATGTAATTTTAATTTTCTACCACATAAAAATTTCAAATATTTGGAAATTATTAGAACTCTGCAAGCAAAGGTCTATTAAGTCACTAAATTATAAGGCTTCTCTATAATACTACTTTGTATATGAATTATACCTTTTCAATTATATGTGATCTTATTCCTTTTTTTTTTAAAGATTTATTTATTTATTTATACAAGCACTGAGTATAGTCAGAAGCATGGGAGGGTGAGAGGATTCACCAGAGCCAGAGCGGGGAACAGAACAGGCAGAGAGACGAAATACACTGCTGAGGGGAGCAGGGGGCAGCAGGAGAGGTCTGCGCGCCAAGGGGGACCCTCGCTGGCGGCCATGGATCGAACCTGCGTTGCAGAGGCTGCGGGCAGCTTCACAGCCCAGCGCTCAACTGCTGTGCCACCAAGGGAGGCCTGATCTTATTCCATTTTTAAAACAAATTTACTTTTCTCTGAATTGCTTGCAGACTTATAAAACTTTCATTTACTTCTCAAAGAAGTATATAACTTGTGTCTAATATCTAAGCATCTCAAAAATTAAACAATTTTAAATTAATAACAAATGTATTACACTCCACAATCTAGAGACAAGGACAATATCCTCTCAGAATTTATATTCTTGATGGGAAGACGCAAAATAAACAAGATGATTTATTACCATATAGAATAAGTACTATGAAGAAACTTTAGAGAGTAATGACAACTTGAGGCAGACTGACCACCAAAGGTGTTTCTTAAATGTTGCATGACCTACAATCTGAAAGATATAAAAAAATCTGGCAGATTCAAAGTTGAAAGAAGAGCAGTCTAAGCAGGGACTATCTCTCAACCTGAGTTGAGAGAAGACTTGGTATTTTCTAGAAACAGAATGTTAGGAGATGAAGTTACTGAGATAAGCAAGTTCTAATCTAATCTAATCTAATCATTAAAAGTTCTAATCATTAAACTTGATAAGGGCTTTGGATTCTATTGTTATATTAAGGATGAAGGCAAGCCAAAGGAGTTATGCTGTCTATACATGATTAGCATGATGTGATGATTCAAACTCAATTATAATGAAAAATTCAGTTCCTCATTTGCATCAACCACATTACCAGTACTCAATGACCACAGATAGTCAGTGCTATCATACTGAACAGTGCAGGCATAGCATATTTCCATCTTCAAGGAAAGTTCTATTGGACAACACTTACTAGAGGGTTTTAAGCAGGAAAGGGCAATGATGTAACTTACATTTCAAACTACCAGTAAAGGACAATACCATCAACAAAAGACAGGAGATAACTGTTTGTAAAAGACAAAGTCCCAGGGCTTCACTAGGAAACTGGATTTAGAAATGATATATGACTCAGAGGTGTCTGAAAATATTCTCCATAAACACCAATAAGTGGGCATCCCTACTATCCTCTTAACAGTTATAAAACTCTTGAGTAAAGAATAGAGTTCAGTAAAACCAGCGGACAGTACCAAAGATAGAAACCTATTGTTAGGCTGAAATAGACAAGAGTGATCTTTGGCACTGGAACTGGATTTAGGAAAAGTATCAGAGTAATCTCATTAAATACCTCTGCCCAGTTAAGTTAGTACAGAAGTAACCATGTAATAACACTAATAATTCTAACTTTGTTATTGGGCATACAAATTTGACTAGAATAAATTGCCAGTGCCTGCAATTTATTGGTGATTATGTTAGGGGGAAAGGATGTCCTGAGATAATCTCATACAGGCTTTGTGGACTCCACCCCACTCCAGACTAAAGCCATCAGGACATTGGGAAAGACAAATCCCATCACCACCAAGGGGAGGGTGGCTGGGACCTGAGGGTGGAGTTGGGCAGCCAGGTTGGATATAAAACCAAAACGTGGGCCTTGCTCTCGCTCTGGCTCGCGATCGCTCGCCTCCTGGCTTCACCGCTCCTGGCTGGCGGCCAGCTCTCAGAGCGCCATTTTGGGATTCCTGATCGGCGGATCGGGTAGGACTCATTTAAAACTTTGTCTCCCACTTTTCTCCCAGAGCTGTACATTTCCTCATTTCCCTTTCCCTTGTAAATAAACCTTTTATTAACCTTTCACGTGTGCCTGCAGTAGAGCATTGATAAGTCCTTTTAAGCGCGGGTGAGGACCCACAGTCAGGCACCCCGTTTTGTATCGGGGCTGCTCTACAACAGTTTGGCGCCCAGCGTGGTTTCCAAGTTACACCCGCGGTTGACCAGCCCAAAGTAACATTCCTTGCGTTGGTCACCATAAGCGCACTAGTTCTGCAGGACTAGCAGTATAATATTTGTCTCTAGTCCTGAAAAGTCTGTTTTTTTTTCCCTGTGCGTACAGCCCTTGTGGGTGTGTTTTGACTCAAATATGGCCTCAACCATGAGCCTATACAGTTTCATCCCTAGCCTGAGTTCTTTCAGTTTCCTTCCGGCCTTGAATTTGAGCAGCCTTCTTCCATTAAATATCACCACCAGTTTCATTAATATAAATAATTTGATGAAGCCTGGTGTATGGCATGTGATTTTACTATTGTATACATACATGGGTGGTTTACAAGCCATCCCTTTACAGACTGTGCTTCTGGGTGGTTTTTTGGTAATATGTGTAAGCGCAGTTTGCTACATTCTTGTTTCTGTGAGAGGTAGAAGTTCTACTTCACATACTGAGAATGTGCAACAACAAATTCAGGCTTTTAACGTGGCCATACAACAACTAAATCAGGTTTTTGATTTAACTATTAAGAGTATAAGGGATGAAAATCGTAACGTTTTTGAGTCAGCTTATCAAAGCATGCTGTATCAAGTGCAACAACAAAATCGGACTTTTGAGTCAGCTTTTAAAGGTATGCAGGACCAGATGCAGGCCGCCCTCCATAAATTAGATATGGCGGAGGCGAAGGCTAGGCTAATGGTGCAGAGAAAGGATAGACCTTCCCCTTTCCATGAGGACAGCCAGCGAGCAGAGTTAGAAGAGGAGGAGCATCATATTTTAAATACTTTAAATACACGAGGACAAAATCCTCTTCCACGTGACAAAGCCCCTCCCGTGCAGACCCCTGAGGCTGCACAGCCTCCACTATCCAGAGTGATAATGGGCCGGCATTTGTCTCTGACGTCACCCATGCAGTGAGCAGTGCGTTACAGATAAACTGGAAATTGCATGCTGCATGGAGACCGCAGTCTTCCGGGCAAACAGAAAAGATGAACCACACCTTGAAGAAAACCTTGGCAAAACTGTGCCAAGAAACACAACTTCGTTGGGACCAGGTACTATCCCTTGCCCTCCTCCGCATAAGAGTGGCACCTAGAAGTGGGCTACAATTAAGCCCCTTTGAGATTGTGTTTGGAAGACCTTTTCAGGCCTCAGTTCTGAAAGCCAGTCCGGAAATAACACAAGATTGCCGGATCACGCAATATGTGAAACACATCCAGGAGGTTCTGGCAGTGATTCATAACTTTGCAACCTCAAGGATCTCTATGCCTCCTGATCAACCATTGCATCCCTTCAAACCTGGAGATCAGGTCTTACTGAAGACTTGGCAGAGCGGGGATGCTCAAAACCAGCTGTCAGAAAAATGGACTGGTCCCTATGATGTCTTGTTGAGCACACATACTTCTCTGAAACTTGCAGGCATAAAACCCTGGGTACATCATTCCAGAGTTAAGAAAGCCCCAGGAGGAACTGACCCAGAGACGAAGTCCCATTGGTCTTGTGAACCCATTGAGGACTTGAGATATTTGTTTAAGAAACAGACAAAAACTTGAATGTTACTGACTTCTTTTCCAGTTATTGTTGCAGGATACCCAAGGACTCATTTTTTTTTCCTGAAGAAACCCTGAGAAAACTAACATGCTCTAACCAATCTTCTTCTTTTCAAAGTTTAGGAGACGTGAAATAACATCTAGGATCATGCATATGGTGCCACTATTTTTTTTTACACAGAAAGGTTTTCAATCTTGATTTTGTTATTTTTTTTAACTTTCTGCTTTTTTTTTTTTACCTTTGAGATTTTTTTCTCTGCTTTCTTTTTGTTACTTTGGCCAATGAGTGAAACTGCAGTTGCATGAGATATCCCACGCGTGATAAATGGTAACTAATGAGCTCTTTGTGTCTATATG